TCGTCAACATTAGGTGGGTTTGGTTTTCTTTTTCTTTGCTTTTTCATAGTAGGTTCGGTTTTCCGAGTGAGGACAACCTACCCGACGCTTCAACCCATTTTTTATAATTCTTATGGGTGAACTTAAAACTATTCCTGAAAAATGCACGCCTTAGAAAAATATTCTTAAAAAATCCACGTATATTTAAGAACTTTTTAAGGAACTTGAAAAAATATTATTTTAGGGACATGAAAAAAATGTTATTTAAAATTCATGCCTTTTACGGACTTAAAAAAATATTATTTTAGGGCCTTGAAAAATATGTTATTTAAAATCGCCGCCGTTTTAGGGACTTGAAAAAAATATTATATAAAATCCACTCATTTTTAGTAAATTGAAAATATAATTTAAAAAAAAAATCTTGCTTATAAAGAGAAAATATTCTTCCTCCATTTTAGGTCTTCAATAAATTGACGCCTTTGTAAGGACATGAAAAATATGCTTCGACCTTAAAAATCGCTTGTTGAAAAAAACTTTAAATAATATTCTTTAAAAAATATACTTTTTTAAAGATATGAAAAAGTATTATTTTAAAGGAATTATGCTTCAACCTTAAAAATTCTATCTTGCCCTGTCACATTATTGCATTATTATTGCAATACCTTTAGATAGCAGATGACAGAAAAATATTACAATTGCCTCGAAGTGAAATAAAAAAAAGTATCGAATATATAACTCCCTAATGATTACAAAACTTAGAGGACATTTAATGCAATACCAGTTTAAGCCATAAATTCTTAAGCAGAAAAAAAAAACACACTGAACAACAAATTTTGTATTCGAACAAACAACTCTATTAAAATTCTAAAGCAATACTTCCCATTGGTCCATAAACACAACACAGAAAGCCTATAAATTTAGAAATATCACATTTGGTGCAGTGAATCAGCCATGCCAAGGTACTACCCAAACTATATAAATTTTGTTGTCAACTTCCGTCACCCCTCTCTTCCATATCTCTTTTCAAAAAACCTCTAAGATATTGAAACAAACTTAAGTTTGTTAATAATTTATCTGCAATGTTTATGCATTTCCTCCTAACACACCCATCTATTTTTTCTGTGCAGTTGCCATAAAAAACAACAACAACAGCAAGAAAATGCATTTCCTCGTAAGTAAAACTGGGTAACATTTGTCTGTTATAAATGAGTTTCCTGGGACTCTTCGGTCGGTGTAAATCCATCTGTACAATAAGCGACCAAACAATAAATACGAAATCTTCGAAAACAACTCGTTTTCCATACAAACAATGCGATTGTATTTTAAATAGATCTCAGTGTGGTCCTGTATGTGTGTGTGTGTGCGAAACTCCATCATGGATAAGTTTTTGCTTTGGTTCTAAAGTTGTTAATTTATTTTTCAATTTTGTTAGTTGTTGTTGCTGTTGTTTTACTTCGTTCTATTTATTTATCACTTCCGGTGGTTCTCCTATAGAATTGTGTCCCTTTAACAAGCTTTCATTTAGTTTTTTCATTTTATTTGATTACACTGAGAGAAACTTGAAATCCACGCTTCAAAAATATTTCAAATATTAGTCTCAAAAATTCACAGCCTGTTTTTGTAAAAATCCACAAACCTTTGTTTATGTAAAAAAATATTTTTTGATTCAAAACAAAAATAAATGACATATTTTTATTAGTCGTTTAGAATTTTACAAAAATTCACTTATTTTTAAGGTCATAGTCATAATAAATCCACGCAGGACTTGAAAATATTCTTTAAAAAATTCTCGCCTTTTTAAGGACTTGAAAAAGTAGTCTTATAAAATCCACGCTTTTTCGTGACATGAATAAATATTCTTCAAAAAATCGACGCCTTTTAGAGAACTTGAAAAAATAGTCTTAAAAAATTCACGCATTTTAAGGGCTTGGAAAAAAGTCTTTAAAAATTTACGCCTTTTTAAGGACATGAAAAATATTCTTTAAAAAATCTACGCATTTTTAATGACTTTAAAAAATCCACGCTATTTGATGGACTTGTAAAAGTATTCTTCAAAGAATCCATGCCTATGAAAAGCCCATGCAAAAGAATTCTTGAAAAATCTAAGCCCACGTCTATGAAAGAAAACAGCCTATGAAAGGTCCTTGAAATATTTAAATATCTGCTGTTCAAGACTCTTTTAAGACAAAATATTTTTGCGGATCTTAATAATATTTATAATATATATCCCATTTACTATTTCTCTCAGTGTACCTTCTATTCACAAAATTATTATAAAATTTCCCATTTTGTATGTCGTTTTCATGCACACATGTCAGGATGTTCTTAATTTATTTTAAACAAAACAAAAATGCTAGCAAAGTTACAACCTTTTTTTTCTTCTCATTTTCTACTTGCATATCCTTGTAATAAGGATACAACATTGAGGTTGTCGTTTCGATTTGCACCTATTCGAAATTTTACTACTATTGTCGATGTAAATTTTTGCCTCAACTGTTTTTCTATTTTAGTTTTTGAAAGGATTTTGCGTGTGTGTGCGTTTATTTGTATGACTTTATAATGTCGTTACGTTTTAATCGAGTTTCAGTACGACGTTAATTTGTTTACCAGCGGAAACTTTAAATTGAATTAAAACAACATTTGCAAATAGTCACTCACCACCACTACTCGGAGTAGTAACTTTTCTTTGCCACAAACCGAAATCCTTGAATGCAACAAATCCTTCTCGTTCTTTCTCCTGCATTCTATTTTACATTTATGTGAGTGTGTGTACGTTTTTAGATTATTTACCATGGCACCTTAGTGTTCATGTGGACTCGGGCAAATGTTCGAGGATTTCTACTTGTTGGTCTGTTTTATAATCAAACCCCATTCATATAAATTGGTATTTAAACATGGTTTAATGTTGTGAGAGTTGTTGATGAAGAGAGATTTTGTGAGTTGGTTACAATCAAGGCAAAACCATCAGTCATATTGTTGTTGAGATCTTTAAAAATCCGATTAAACATCAAAAAGGATTTTATTGATTTCCGTATTTGACATTATTATAGAGGAATGGATGGACCAACAATATTAATTTTATTTTAAATCTTATTTAGAACAATTCAAAAATAAAAGAGATATATTTTAACCGTTCAAATTCTGAGCGAAGTATACGAAAAAATCACGTATTAATCAATTTGCTATCACTGCACAAATACCAAAGTTCTACATTCCAAAAGTAATATTAATTCCAAATATCCGGATTCCAGCTCTGTTGGTTCACCTAAATCCAAAGTTTGTACCATTCAGTACCCATTTCCAAAACTACACCCATGCCCCAATACTACACTCAACAGCAAATTTTATTTCCAATTCCAGTTCAATCGAAACACCTATCACTTTCCATTACTACCTACATCGTACAATCTAATAGAAATCATATTTACCAATTTCAGGATTACAGAGCTATCGGTTTACCCTAAATACAAAGTGTACCAAATTTAGTACGCTTTAGTAGAAATTTCAAAAACTTCCTACATACCCCAATCCTACACACCAACAGTGATTCTAACTCCAAATTTCAGGATTCCAGCACTATTGGTTCACCCTAAATTCAAATAGTATCACATTTAGTACACATAAGTACAATTTACCAACATGCCTCAATTCTACAATGCACTAGAAATCTTATGACCAAAGTAATGACAGGAATCATTACTGGTCATTGCAATATCAGGGCCTTTACTAGTAAATGGGATATTGATGCCACTGATTACTGTAGACTCTGCGTTGACGAGGAGGAGACCGAGACAATTGAGCATCTTCTAGTGAGTGCTCACTTTCCATCCAGTCTTAGCTTCTTCTCAACAACCGAACCTGCTCTAATATACAGCATAATTAGAAACCTAAAGTGGTTGGGAAAGTGCAACCTTGACACGTAATATATCTTCTGTGTGATCTCTATAGCCATCGACGTTATTCCAAACTTACCTTCTTTCTACCTTTTACCATCTTTCTGTAAGCTTCTCATCTCTCTTTATCTCCCCAATCTTCTCTCCCCTATAGATCTCTCCTTATCACTTTTCTTCTCATGAATGATCACAACGGACCTGACGGTCGCAGAGTGCTGCAGCCACATATGTGACTGCACATCCCCCAACCTAACCTATCTATTCTACGCTCCATCAGAGACCCTCACTTCAAATTTAAGAGTTCTAGCTCTACCGGTTCACTAAATACAAATGGTTCCACAATCAGTCAGTCAAGGTACGTTTAGATTTACGAAATCCGCTTGATCTCCAATCCCAATTCCTGGATTAACGTAGCCTCAATCTTGTTACTCTTTTGTTAGCATAGATTGTTACCAAATATTACAGAATGTTGTCTGTTTACTCCAATGTCCAGTAAAAGAGAGCGAATAGAGAGAGCTAGTTTGACAGTTCTACGCTGCCAGCTTACTGAATGTTATTTGGCAAATTTCTTCTAGTAAAATTTTCCAGCACATTTCAATAATTTTAAATTTTGACCAAAGTCAAAAACATTTTTTATTTTACAAATTTTATTCTTTAATAACTTAAAAAAATAAATTTCAACATTTTAAGTGAAATTACGGAATATATAGCAAAATCGTATTCGATGTTGTCAGTTTACTTTTCTCAGTATTATTGCAAAAGAGAATAAAACGTCTTTCTCACTGAAATAGAACTTATACGGCATTTACATTAGAACTTTTTACCGGGTTAACCTACTTTATGAGGATTTATTTGGCATATATTCAAAGGAATTGAAAATTTAAACCCACTGGGTTAACCAAATCCGGTTAAATGTAAACGACCTTTTACTGAGTAAATGTTACTGGAAAAGTCACCAGACACACCTATTGTTTTGTATTTGGTCGAGTTCTGTAGCTCCTTTAGTGAATCCGCCAATTGAACTAGTCATTGCCTGGACATATTTATTGAGGAACGTTAACCAATGCTTGGGATATGGTGCATTGAACAACCCAGTTAAAGGAAACAATTTCAATTCGCCGATAAAAAATGCATAATCTACAAAGAAGGGTGGATGTCAGCATTAGAAGTTTCTATATTTTCAATTCCACCTATGGTCTAAAAGAGGGACATGTAAGTAATGTGGGTGTAAAAACAAAACAAGGTCAATTGATATTATTCTTTTTGTTGTTTTTTTAATATAGGAAAAGGAAAAAATACTCTTCTATCATCCCAAGGATATTGAGTTGAACACGAAAATATCCGATATTGGATTGAGTCAAGCATTTACAACATTTACGGAGTAAGACACCTTATAGATAGGGTAATTTGAATAAAAATTTATAAGACCCCTCTACTTATCATTTTTAGTACCTTCACGGATGAACCTGGTGGCTGTGAAGTTATACACACGGAGAAAACCGTTCAATTACTATATCAAGCTGAACCAACATTTTGGTTAGTATTGGTTCTAAATGTCCCCAAGGAAATGCTAACAAAGGATGGTGTCGATTATGCTGAATATCATCCATATGAACTACATGATGACGTCTATCGTCGTGTATTAATTATGGCCTATGAACGTTTTCGCATGCAAGAGGGTACATTCCAAATGCTCTTGGACGAGAATCCTGATAATGGTCGGGAAATTTTGGTGGACAAGTTGGAGGAGTTTTTCGATAAGGTTTGTTAAGAAACTGGCGAGAAGAAATTAAGATACACTAGTATTGTCCTCTCTAAAAATCAATAATATGTATAAGAATTATAATTTTCATTCGGTTTATTTTTTTCAGTACATTTCATCATTGAAATTACCAGCCGAGGATATATTTGAATTTATACGTTCCTTACAATATTTACCATTGGATAAAGTATTATTCCTGAGAGTCCATAACTTTATTGAATCCCTTAAATCATCATATCCCACAATTAAGGATTCGTTATTCCTCTACAAGAACACAGTTGTAACGTAAGTAAAAAAAATTATCAAAACAAGAAAAGAGAAGAAGAGATGGAAAATCAAATTACCGGAAAATTTTATAAATTCCCTCTAAACAAAGATGGGGAGTATGTGGAGTCAAATTGGTCTTGTATGAAAATTCCGCTTGTCTTCTATAAAAAGACATTTTCTTCTATTAGATATACTTATTTTGTCTCTAAAGATAATACCATTTATCCTTCTTTGAGAATTGAAAAATCATTTGGGCTTCTTTTGGAATATCTTCTTGTATTCTATGAGTAAAACTTTTGAACTTCGATCAGAATAATTTTGATCTTCTATGAGAATACCTTCTGGTCTGCTATAAGAACATAATTCGGTCTTTTATGAGAATGTCTTCTCTGAGAAGACCATATGGTCTTTTTTGAGAAAACGATGTTGTCTTCTATGAAAATACCTTTTAGTCTTCTATTAAAAGATCTTGTGGACTCTTTTGAAAAAATCTTATGGTATTTTATTAGAATACCATTTGTTCTTCTATGAGTTTTTGGCAGCTATTAAAATACATTCTTAATAGAAGACCTTTGCCTTGTCTTCTAAGATCTTTTGATTTTTTATTAGACTAGTCTTTTCTGCATAAGAATGCCTTGTGGTCTTCTATGAAAAGGCTTTTTAGTCTTCTTTGAGAAAACTATTTAGTCTTCTGCGGGAAATGCTTTCGTTCTTCTCTTGGAAGACCTTTTGGTCTTTTATGAAAAGACATTTTGGCCTTCAATAAGTAGATAAATGTTAAGATTTTTTTCATCTTCATTAAAAATGCCTATCAGTCACCCATCTATATATAAAAATATCCGAAAAATACTAAAATCCAAATTTCTCTGGTTTCAGTTGCGGTCGTTTTCATTCCACCCAGCTATATACACTCTATCGATTTGTCCAGGAACATTTGAAAACACCAATAACAGCGAATGGAGAACTTACAACAACACGTGATACCAAACATACTGTACACAAAATATATATTCATAGCAACAAAGATGGTATTAAACCATATCGTATGGTTATATATCCATCGACCAATGTTAGCTTATGCCTCTTCTTCGAACAACAATGTAATGAAATTACCCAACAATATCTGGAAGATATTGGCAATGTACTTAGTACACAATTATATATTTTATCACGTGACATTGAAGACTACTTAGATAAACAGGTGAATATGACAACAACAACAAGTAAAGCAACAGCATCATCGACCGGTGATAGTGACTATGGTACTAAATATTTATTTATAAATGATCGAAGCCTCCAAATGATAACAAATCTTGGTGAAGATGATAGTCAACGTAAGACGAAATTATCACAAAATATTCTAAATGTGATGGCAGATATATTTAGCCTCACGGGGGATAACCATGATAATAGTAAGGTGCATGATATGGCCATTCCCAATCAAGAGGAAATAATGGTCAAGTCCACGGATGATTTTTGGGTAGTCAAGCGACATGGTAATTGGCGTCAACGTTTTGTCATTGTCTTCAGTACCAAACCCACCCTGCTCGATATGACTAAAGAAGCTGAACGTATATTTACTGAATATGATATTAAAGATGGTGTATTCTCTGACAAATAAACAAAATTATCAAATAAATAAATGGCGTTTTCCAATTGAAGCGACGTGAACGATGATCCTTGGTATTTTGTGTGGGGAGGCAAGCACTGTCCGCCATGGGACTGCGCTGGCGGCGAATGCTATGGGCGCAGAATACGCAACAGACAGTGCTTGATTCTCCTCAAGTAAGCAGAGCGGCACCGGTTGAGCTCATATTGCCCTCGTTGGCATCAACATAAACACTGCTGTTGGACGCAACTCCACCCAGACGACTGTTTGCCGCTGCGGAACCATTGCGCAATTTAACAATATAAATACGACGATTGGACATACAAATGTTATAGCTATGATCCTCATAGACTATGGAAATTCTTTCGCAGCTACTGTTTGGCATAAAATTCTCATCGACACTGTAACCAAAAAAGAAAACAAGGAAATCAATTTGTGTGAATTCGTTGGTGTGTATGTGTGCGTATCTTTAAAATTTTACGCCTTACCTTTCGGTCAAATTAATAAGATCTAGGAATATATTGGCACTTCTTTCATCATTTTCTAGTTCACCCCCGGATTCCAGTACAGCGCCGTCTTCTTTCAATACCAAAAATCCAATTTGATTTGCAAATTTTTCCATTTTTCTAATCAATTTCTGTCAAACAAAGACCAGCCAAGTCCAAAGTTATAAAACGAACAGCGTATAATGAGAGAAAAACAAAAATAAATGACGATAAAGGTTGCCAAGTTCATTCGATTTGGTAGTTCACAAATGAACGGTTTCAATTGAACGATTCACTGAGGGGAGCTCATGAACCAATCCCCAATGCGTAAGGAACCCTTTGGAACCCTTTCTCAAAACAAGGAAATTCAAATCAGCTCTTGGACCTGATCGGATATCATATTTCATGATAGTGAAAAAATTAAGTTTTTAAAGATTTTGATCCAAACTTGGGATAGTGGTGTCTTTCCAGAGGATTGGAGGATTATAAAGATAGCCTAAAAGGAACAAGGATCTGGCAATAATTACCAACTATAGACCGATAACCTAGATATGTCCACATCAGAAAATTCTAGAGTCAGCTCTTAAGCAGAGTATTCAGGAACACTTGGAAAAGAATAATTAGATACCGGTTAGCTCGTGCATTAATTATCTAATTAATGATCAATCGAAGTTCATAGGAAAAATAAGAGGGCGGTAATTGGAGCCTGTATAGATATAGGGAAAGCTTATGATAACACTGACATAAGTAAATTTTCCCTGATTCTGTTAAAAATATAACTTAATACACACAATATTAAATAGATCTACGACGGTATGTCCAAACGCATATTTCGAAGGGACAAAAAAATCACTGTGTGCAATAGCCTTCCTCAAGGCTGTGGACTGAGTCCCTTACTGTTCAACACTTATACGGCGGAGCTGCATAATATTGATTACGATTGTAGCCTCTTCCAGTTTGCTGACGACTTCTTTATCATATGTCATGGCAAAAATTTTGATACTGCAAAATGCATTTTACAAAAAAAAACAGGAATTCATATGGACAAAACAGCCAACGCCATTAGATTATTGGATTTTCTGCATAATTTCGGACAAAACTCTGGAGGAACATTCGAACGATTTCGGATACCTTTTAATAAATTCCAAAAAATCGAAATATTAACGGATGTTTTTATTCGGAAATTTATCGGAGGTTAGGTGCAAAATTCGGAAATTTATTGGATGTTTTATGCGAAAAAAAGATTGCATTTTAATTTTAGAATAAATAAAAAGACAATAATTTAAAATGTATTTCAGTAAAGGCTTCTATTTTTTCTTCCTCTTGATTAATAGAAGGCTGTATTTAGACATTTAAGATGGGGGCTTCTATTTCTTCTTTCCATCGATTAATTCCTTGCGGAAAGTTTTAACAAATTTGCGTATGTTCTGACATAGATTCCATATATTTGGTATTTAATTTTCTCAGATATTTGGAATATAACGCCATTTAGACTGCCTCTTACGGAATCCATGTTGGCAATGGGCTACAGGAAAACTGTTACTGGAAACAGAAGAGAAATCCCTTCACCTACTTCTTAGCTTCAGTAGCAGAGCCCCCTGGATAATTTCCATTTGATTTGATTAGGGGAGTTGGTTGGTGCCTAATACGATTTAACACGGCGACACCATTCATATTTCACTTGTACTTGCTTCTGCTCGAATTGTAAAACTTACAAGCTGACACATTTTAATTTAAAAAAAAAACTATTTTTTTCAAAAATGATCACTTGGAATTTTGCGACTTTATATTTAGTGGATCTGAACAAGTGTCAACATTATCACGCATGTAAGCCTCACGCAGAATTTTTTGAATTTTCCAAACTGCATCACGACGTATTTCATCCTTCTTTAAGGAGTTTAGTTCAAAGGTAATTTGTTTTCCAAACCATTCGTAACTGGTATCTGGCTGAGAAGGCTGCGAATTCGCCTTGTTGAGTAATTGTTTACTTATTACAATTTTCTGAAATGTGAAAATGAAATAAAAAAATAGAATTAAATGTCCAATTATTAAGCAAACATACCCTTTTCTTGTTATTTACAGGATTTATTCTAGTTTCATCATGATCATTATTGGCACGTTTTATTACCTATAATTTTAGAAGATCAACAATTAGAAGTCTATGTGTTAGATTTGAGCACAAAACTTACTGATCTTTTGTTTGTTTTACTATTATTATTTTGAATATTAATGCTTGAAGAGGGAATATCTGTTTTAATAACTTCATTTGGCAGTTGATTATCTGGTAGGGCTTCGAAGAATTCGTTAAGATGTACATCGATGTCAGAATTCTGAGAAAGATTCAATTATAATTATTCATAATAAAATTAAATTAAAAAATAAATAAATATCTTGAGCAAAACTGATGGGGTTTTTTAATACATACTGTTTGGTTATGTATTGACTGGTCGTGTTCAGGGACCGTATCGATGGTTATTGAAATATTCACATCCTCATTATATGGTTTTCTCTGTAATTATAGAAAGTAATAATTCATCATTTTAATTTTTTTAGGTTTTATGCACAAGGTTTCACTGTCGTTATTTGTTGTAATTCATGATATTAAATCCAAAAAATGTGGTGGAGAATTTATACTTCCACAGATGTGAAATTCAAGAAGAGTCTATCTGGTTCCAAAAGAAATAAAATCTCCCTGCTATTTCCTTCAATAACATCCAACATTGTGATGCCAACAAATGTGCATTGCAGTTCTGCCGCCATCTTCGCAGAACAGAACCAAGCGAGCAGTTATCCGGAGATCCAAGAATCTTAAAAGAGACTCGCAGCCACTATCATTTACATCCAGCTAGGTACAGACGGCATATCCATGTTCATGTTAAAGAAGCTTGGATCAATAGGGCTGGGCTATCTGACCAAAGTTCTCGAGTTATCGATGTCCGCTACTACTTGGGATCCCTACCGCCCGATTTCTATTCTGTCACCAGTAGCAAAGGTTTTAGAGACTCTAAAACCTTGGCTACCGTCCCTGGAACAGCGTTTCGTTCTTGCTACCCAACAACACAACGAATGCTTTCGAAGAAATTACTTCCAAGATTGGGAATGGTGAACGGACCCGTTTCCACGAAGATTGAAACGGAGTCTTACTCGGCCAACGTCTGTCACCTCAGCCCATTGTGTAAAAGCAATAGGGCTGCTACAACAACAACAACCTGAACGGACCTTTGTGGTAGCTTTAGATCTGTCCAAGGCGTTTGATACGGTCGATCATTCCGAGCTGATATCCGACATCACAAATTCCAACCTTCCGAGTGATATCAAGCGTTGGCTTGCCAACTACCTTAATGGGCGGCAGGCCTTCGTTGAGTTCCGTGGCCAAAAATCCAAATATCGCAAGATCAAAATGGGAGTACCGCAAGGCGGTGCTCTATCTCCCATTTTGTTCAACATGTATCTTGCGAAACTCTCTATTCCTCCACCAGATGTGTCGTACGACGATGACTGTACGATTATTTCGTCCGGCGTTGACATTGACGACGTAAGTGCTAAATTATCCACCTCAAAGTCTACTGTGTCACTTTTCACCTCCTGGACCCGAGAAGCCAATTTAAAACATGACATTTCTATTGAAGTTAGGTGCATCCCCTCCGTCCACAATCCTAAAATCATTGGGGTCTTCGATAACTTCCTTCATTTCTCCTCGCATTCTAACTACTTCAACCAGAAAGTGATAGTTAGGAATAAAGTTTTGAAAGTTTTGGCTGGCACCTCCTGGGGCAAAGATAAAGAAACGTTGGTAACGACATATAAGGCCATAGGTCGTTCCATTCTTAATTATGCTGCCCCAGTCTGAACTTCTTTCCTTAGCGACACACAACGAGATCCTTGCAAAAAAACTCAAAATAATGCACACCGAATTGAAACCGGCTGTGTCCAGATGACGAGCATTGATCACCTCCATGAGGAGACCAGAATGATGTCAATTGAGCAACAAAATGTGGTGTTGAATAGACAGTTCCTGCTGGCATACTATCACTGTGTGATGGCAGATCCACCTCCGCGTCATTGGCATTCAATACGTCATTCCACCGGACGTTATGAATTCCGTGCATCAACTGGCGATCCCCGAAGCCATAAATGACTATAGATCCTCCACGCTCCTGCAATTTCGGAGAGTGATATACTTCTTCCTAGGCAAACCCGTTCGATTATGGCACAACTAAGGTCCGGATACAGCAATGTTCTCAATTCGTATCGAGAGGGCATTTTCCCCGGAACCCTAAATAGGTGTCCCTCTTGTGCCAGCAAAGCCCTCACGACACACACCGTCTATTCAATTGTCCGTCCGATCCTACAAGTATATTGCCTATAGACCTGTGGCTAAAGCCAAAGGAGGTGGCACAGTTTCTCCGGCTACTCTCTTCAAATCCGTTTTCTATCAATATTTTCAGGAAAGAACTTTCACCAACAGCCAACCTGTTACAACAACAACAAAACTTACCCTTTCAATGGGCATTTGCTCTAAATCGTCTTCTACATTATAACAATTGTCCGCATTGATATCATCATTGGCAGGCAATTCACTAAATGTATTTTTCTCCGAATTACTGTCACTACTATCCTCAGAAATCTGTAAGAAGAACAACAAAGCAACATTCGATTAAACAATAATGCACTCGATCATGTTTCTACACATTCCTACTCACTTCACTTAAACAAAATGAACTAGCTTTTTTCGACGGTAGATTCGTTGTTGTCTCTCTTCTACTTTTGAGGAATGGATTCAAAAAAGATAGTTTATGGTAACACCACAATCTACTGTCATCATCTATCTTATTTCCTTTTTGCTTACACGATTCCAATCGTCTTACTTCTTTCCCATATTGAGATCGTAGAGAATAAATTCTGTCCTTGACGTGCTCCACAGTTATATTCTTGTTAAATTGTTGCAATTTCATGCAAATATCCATTAGGGAATATTTTCGCGCATCATTGTCTTTATAACTGGGATCATACCTATTGTATAGATTAGCATGTTTGGCATATGTTTCTATCAGTTTTTCTGTTAATTCCAGACTCCACAAATTGTCATGAATTTTTCGTTGTTTCTAAAAAAACAAACAAGAAATTATTGCGATTAAAATTTAAA